AAAAAAAAAAAAGGGGAAGGGAAGGATCCCAATAACCTTTTTTAAAAATCTCCCCCCAAAAAATTTTTTTCAATCAAAATATTACGTATTAGGCTAAAACAAAATGCAAATTGCGAACAATAAGAAGATGAACTAAGGTTTTTCAATAATTAGAATCACGAACTCTATTTTTCACAGTAAATATAATTTTTTTGTCTATTTCATCTTTCTTTCTCTTTTAATCTTTGCCGCATTTATTTTAATTCAAAAGTTCTACTTTCTTGCCTTTTCGTTCAAATTTTACCATACGAACATATATATATATATATATATATATAATATATATTGTATTATCTAACTCTCATGTGCTTTTCACGTAGGACAAAGTGTATTGGTGGGAAATGTGGATGATTTTTTTTCTCTTACCTTTATTTCGTAGTCATATTTTTGTCACATGAGTGGATTTTGTTAAAAATTTCAAAAATGCAGTAACAAAAGAGAGAACTTGACACTTGCGTAGAGACCAAAGTAGGATTTGAGTAAAAGTACAGGAGGTTGACTGTCATGATTTCATGTATAGAAATCAAAGTGGATTTAACCACAAGTGCAAGGGGTTACTGTTATGATTTCATGTGTAGAAGTCAAAGTGAGATTTGTACAAATTGTAAGGGTAAAAGTGTATTTTACTCTTCTTTTTTTTTTAGGTGGAGTTTGTGTGTAGTTAAAAGTTCACAGTCTAAAAAAAAAAATGATTCTTTTTTAAAAAAAAAAGTAAGTGTCAATTTTTTTTTTCTATCTTGTGTGGATGAATCTTAAAAATTAAAAACAAAAAGCCAAAAATAAGCGAACTGTTTTTAAATTTTTTTTGGTCATTTCTAAACACTTTTCAAAATATTTTTTGATTTTTCAGTATGTCTAGTTAAATATAAGCCACAACACAAGCCTAAATCTTTAAAAAAAACGCTATGTTTGGTTGGGAATTTTAAGAAGGAATTTGAAAAAAGGAAAGTGAAATGGTAGATAAAATGTGAATAAAATATACTTACATTTCACAGAATTTCACACAATTTTTTCCTTTCTTTTTTCAAATCCTTCCCAAATCCCCTAATCAAATACAAGGTAAAAAATAAAAATAAAACCTAAATACCCAATCATACAACAAGAGCCAAGGAAGCAAAGTTGTGGATGAGGTAAAAGAGTGACCCCATAAAACATAAGTGTTAAAATTCCAAATCTGATATAAAAGAAGCGTAAATGCAATCAATAAGTTTCATCATTATTGATCTTGTTCGAGGAAGAATGTTATGTTTGTTCATTTGTTATTATTTATGATCTTCTCGTTGTTTGTGTTTGATGGATAAGTGTTGGGCCTACCATCAGGCTTGATTCTTAAAAAACAAATATGGCCACTGTACGTAATCCTCTGTTATGTTTCGTATTATATCAAGGACGGGAAAAATCAAATTACTGACAGGGTGGGTTAATTTTATAACTTAAAAATGAAAATACTAATAAAAATGGAAAATTATACCGGTAAGTACTATACTTTGATTCTTGTGTCATTTTAATCCATATAATTTTGATTCACTCAATTTTAAACAGAAATTTATAATTCTATCTCAATTTGATTCAATTTATTACAATGTCAGTGTTTTTGAACTTCACAAAGTTGAACATTGAGGTGTCTCTGAATATCTCATTTGTACACATCATATTTTTGTTTTCTAAGTATCTAGCGAGTTACAAACATAGTTTGAAAATGTAATGCACAAGAAATTGTGGATATTCACTCTCACATCAGCATATTACCACACCAATCAACATTTTTGACCATTTGGCTGAAAGAGAGCTTTCCCTTATGAATAGAAAATCACTAGTTCACAATTTGACAACAGTGTTCTCTACTCTTGCAGTGATATATATATCAATAAAGTGAAAATTTCATTAAAACATGAAATTAAAGATACAGGTAGATGCAATATATCGAGAGAGGTTCAAACAGTACAAAATACTCCTGCTACTTCTACTACTCGCACTCCTACAAAAAACCCCCCGGCCTCACCATTTTTTTTTTTAACAAAAAAACAAAAAAAAAAGAACCCAAAACAAGACCAAACAAAAATTTAACAGTTAAGGACTTAACTACTAAAAAAAATAAAAGGCATGAAACCCCAAAGCCAAACCACACACCAAACAATGAATCACTCAAAATCAAACTTCTCAACTCCCAAGGCACAACCACACTACTCCAAAAGCACACCTCAGTGTCACTCACGCCTGTCCCCTCTGCCAGACTTCACCCAAACTTGTCTCCTCCGCCGGACTACACCTACGCTTATCACTTTCGCCGGACTTCACCCACTCCATGGCCAAAGCGTGCTTCCAATACCGAGACACCCACGGCAAAACACCTTTGCATTGATATAATCAATTTTTGTTAAACTTCACCTTCTTTTTTTTGCCTAGTTCAATTTCAGAAATGAAAGAATGAGATGCTTTTTGTTAGATTTTTATATCATAAAATTCTTACTTAATTCACTAACTAAAGGAAATAAGAGATTAAAAATAGAGAATCCTCAACTCTGATGTGTTGTTGCAATGAACTCCTCTCTTTTTTGTCTATATTTCTTAAGGATTTTTTTGATTAATTATTGTGGGTCCTTTAGATTCGAGGTCCGAACTCCTATGAAAATAAAGGCCCACTACGAGATCTATATCGATAATCTAAATCGTTCATTTTATAAGACTAACTGAATCATTCGTGCAAAAAATGAAACTGAGCAAATAAATATAACACATGATCATCTCACATTTCTCTTCATAAAAATAGGCAACAATTATGATTTTAAAAATAGAGCATTCATAATTTTAAAGATATACATAATTTGACCATGAAGCTAGGATTAAACAATCAATCTGTTTTTTCACATCAATGATCTGCTAGAGGGTTCTACAAGTTGAATAATTTAGATCATTGAGATAAGTCTAGTGATGAGCCCATTGTGACCCAACAATACGGTCGACTTAAGAGATCCAACTGAAGACAATTGTATTCAATGTGTTTGCAGCCAAGAAGAGAAAGAACTGAAATTTTGGGGTCTTGGTTCATATTCATAGTACACCCACCTGCCTACATTCTCATTGCTGTAAGATTGAGCCGGGCAACCCAAACTCCCACTAAAACAAGGTCTAGGAAAGGCAAAATGTAAACATTCTAGTCTTATCCCAATTTTTGGAGAGGCTGTTTTCATGACTCCTAACTCCAAAACAACCTCTCCACTAGCAAAAAGGCCTTCTATTCCTCACTGAAGGTATACCGACACCTTGCAAACCCTAGGAACAAACAAAACATTGACGGAAAGTCCCATACAATTGCAAACCATTACTATGAATAACGGCGCAATCCGGACAAGAAAAGATAGAACAAGATGTTGTATCTCCATGACAGTCAAAACTGTTATCTAAAAATATTAAACTAGAAAGTTGAGCATCCCAAATAGATCTCAAAACAGTCATAAGAAAAGGGTAACTTCACAAATCTAGTGAATTATTTTATGAACCAAGTAACACAACATAAACAAAAGCAAACCACCACACATAAAAAGCAAAGACAAACCAAAGTTGCCAACCACTTTTAAGACTAATAGTTGGGCCGATACCCTGCTCAAACTTCATTCACGTCCATGCTATTTTTGCCTAATCAACTTCCGAGCCTTATTGGAAAAAAACTGTAGCACAAAAAAAAAAACACACACACACACACACACACACATTGCAAGAAAATTATACAAATAGCTTGGACACTGATAATGGTTGAAAGCAAGTTAACCCCCAAGCTGGTATAAATCTCCAACTAATGCTTTGCTCAGCTTCTACTAACCTTTTTTGTTGATGAGACTACACCCTTCTTTTTTGTCCTTCCCTTCCAAATGCTCTACCTACACAAATAGAGCATATACAAATTTAAGGATCCAAATAAAAGAAGAAATACAATGTGTTCCCGCTAAATCATGTGCATATATTTGTTTGTGTGTGTGAGAGAGCGGAAACAATGTTAACTACATCTTAATAACAATAACTGTGTCATCTCTACTGAGAGGGGAATTTGTTCAGAACTATGGGCAGAGCTAAACTACATATTTGTTAACTACATATTTGTTTGTGTGTGAGAGCGGAAGGCGACGAACCTTTCTCTGTCGTACATCTACATACATTGTAATTTTATATATTTGGGTAAACTATGCAATGGTCCCTATAGTTTATACGATGTGTCAATTTGGTTCTTATTATTTTAATTTGCTCGATTTTGCCCCTTAATTTAACAGATTGTGTCATGTTGCTCTAATAAATAACGGCTGTTAGGTTTGCTAAACGGAAACTCAAACGATGGGTCAATTTGGTCTCTATAGTTTACATGATGTGTCAATTTGGTCCCTGTCAATGTTCTAAGAATGCATGTTCATTATTATATATTTTTGTCATTAGAAAGGAATATTTTGGAGGAAAACAATTTCTACATAAAAGCATCATGTGTGTATTTCCAAAAATTAAGCAACAAACATATTCTGGTCTATTTTATTATACTACATTTCATAAACAAGAGCAATGCCACAATAGTGAAATATTAACAGATTACGAAAATGTTGCAAACTCGAAACAATATTTTGAAATTCGAAATGAAATGTAATAACAAATACATTAATCATTACTAAACACAATCAATAGAGAACATACTCATCTGATCCAGCAGGATATGCATCCATGAATCTTGCATTAACATCGACATCATGATTGTTCAAATAATCACCCCTATCCCCAAAAAAATAAATCTCAGTGCTCTTGAAGATGGAGGCAAAGAGATAGCAAAAAAAGTAAAATAAAAAGGAGACCTAATGTTTGCATTGACAAGTAAAACTACAACAAATTAATTCCATGTATCTTCTTCAAGAAAAACTACATTAGGTTCAACAAAATTTCTAGGGTAAATTTTACTTTACCCCCTTATGATTTGACCTATATGTTGAGAAACCACTTGTCATATGGAAATAACCACACAACCCCCAAGTGGTTTGTGGGCCAAAACACACAATAGCTTGGCACCCCACAACAATTTTAGCCTAAAAGCCAAAAAATCACTAAAAAGCCAAAAAAACCAACAAACCATACA